CAGTGGAGGAGTGTTCCCCTTTCTCCACATCCTCTCCAATATAAACTGTCACTGGTGTTATTGGTTTTAGCCATTTTGACAGGTGTAAGATGGCATCTCAGAGTTGTTTTGATTTGGGGCAGGGAGGTTGAGTTGGGGTAAAGAACAGAAGAGAGCAAGATAAAAGATATTATAATAGAGGGAGACATTATAGGTTTAAAGAGAAATCAGACACTAGGGAAATGTCTGGAGAGCTACAAAGATGACACTAACTAACAATCTAAGCAACAGAGGAGAGGCTACCTTAAATGCCCTCGCCTGATAACGAGATTGATGACTAACTTATGTGCCACCCTATAGCCTTCATCCAGCAGCTGGTGGAAGGAGAAGCAGACACCTACAGCTAAACCTTGAACTGAACTGAAATCCAATTGCAGAGAAGGAGGAGTGATGAGCAAAGGGGTCCATACCAGTCTGGTGAAACCCACAGAAAAAGATGACCTGAACAATGGGGAGTTCTTGGCCCCCAGAGTCATCACTGGGAAACCAGCTTGGGACTCATCCAGATACCCTGAATGTGGGTGTCAGTGAGGAGACATCAGAAATCTATGGGACCCCTTGCAGTGGATCAGTACTTATCCCGAGTTTAGAAATGGACTTTGGGAGCCCATCCCACATGGAGGGATACTCCCTGAGCCTAGACACAAGGGGGTGGGCCTAGGTCCTATCCCAAAGGATATGTCAGACTCTGAAGACGCCCTACGGAAGGCCTCACTCTCCCTGGGGAGCAGAAAGGGTAGGGTGTTAGTTGAGGGGGCAGGGGTGGAGGGGAGGGAGAGGGACCTGGGATTGACATGTAAAATAATCTTCTTCCTAATTAAAATAAAAATTAAAAAAGAGGTAAATAATCAACTAACAAAAAAATAGCTCACTGAGTCCAACTAGTGCTCTACATATGTGTATGAGTGTTAAGTCATCTAGTGGGGAACAAGCAACTTAATATTAGCTCCAAAGAAAAATGGTTTTCTCTATCCCAGCAACCCTCAACTGCAAATACTTCTTTGCGAACCCCTTCTCTCTCTACTCTGGAATTTGCTTTTAATTTTGAGAATTTCATACATGTACATTATTAAATATCATATATAGCCCCCTATGTCCCTCCAACAGTTTCCATATACTCCCAACATGCCCCTTCAAACTTCATGTCGTTTTTATTTATAACTCATTAAATCCAGGTAGAATTGCCCATGGGCACACGGAGGTGGAGCCATCTATCAGAGCATAGGAGAGCTAGCAGTGGCCAAATCCTCAAGAAAGAATTCTTCTTCTTCCCCAGCAATAGCTGGCTTGAGTTTGTGCAGGTGGCCACACTGCTGTGAGTTCATATGTGTATCAGTCATTCCATATCCAAAGGATGGCATTTCACAGCTCTCTTCCCCACCCTCCAGCTATTCCTTTCTTGAGTGGTTAGTTGACAGAACATTTGTTTAAAGTTTAAATAATCAGAATAGACAGATGCAGTGCAAGTCTTAGAAAAATATAGTCTTCATTAAACTCTGCTGTTACATCCTTTGTTGTTTAATGGTGATTATTTTCATCTTTGGAAGACTCCTTTGGAACTACTGTATTGATTGAAGTGCAAAATTATTAGTCTGCAAGAAGATTAGCTAGACAGTAGTGAAAGGTAAATGTGTCTTCAGAAATGAAAATATACAGTCTATTCCTATAAACACCCTCAACTGGCAAATGGCATAGCTTTGTGAGAAAGATTTAAGACAGTGTGGAAACAAATGTTACCTGCTGAGGAGAAAAGAGATTTTTCCATCAGAACATTGGGCACCAGGTGCTCAATCTAATGGGAATCTCATGTGTGTGTGTTTTGCTCTTTGGAGGACAGTGCGAGCTTTTGATCAGCCCCAGTGCCAGCATTTCAGTGTCTACCATGGGAAGATCAATAATGAGGCAGAGACACCAGAGCCAGGTGGCACATCACAAGCAGACGCCTAGAACAGATCTCACACTGGCTGTACAGTTCCTTTGTGAGGTTGGAGAGATGGCCAAGCTCCTCTATGCTGCAGTTTTCTCTCTTGCAAAAGGAGACTGCATCACTGTCTCATAGGGTTTTCCAAGGCAAGGGTTCTCACCTGTTGATTGCAACCCTTTGGAGGTTGAAGGACCTTCCCAACAGAGGGTCTCATATCAGATATTCTGAATATCAGGTATTTACATTATGATTCATAATAGTAGCAAAATTACAGTTAAAAGCAGCAACAAAATAATTTTATGGTTGGGGGTCACCACAAAATGAGGAACTATGTGAAGGGGCCACAGCATTAGGAAGGTTGAGAACTACTGAGCTAAGAATTAAATGAGCTGTTTGTGAAAGTGCATGGCTCAGTATCTGGTGTGTGGTCTTTTCATACACGAGAGGTTATTGTCACTTAAAAATGCCTAAGAGACAAATTCAGGAGCTGTAGGTGTTCGGAAGAAATGGATAGGGTAGGCTGCACCATCAGAATTAGAAGCAACAATAGGGTGATGGCTTGGAAGAATATCCTTTGAGTGTAGAGCAGCATCTTGGGTTCCTGTAATATCCACTGGAAGCCATAATGGATCAAATATCAGTGGCTGTAATATAAATTTTTGGGAATTATTTACTTACCTTCTTCAGCTTTAGTAAAGTGTAGTTGACAAGTTAAAATTGTGCATGTGGCATGATGTTCAATATTTGTATGCATAAAGGTTTAAATAGAGCTAATTAACATGCCTATCATCTTACAGTCCTGATTTTTCTTGGGTCTTGAAGAAGTGTGTGTGTGTGTGTGTGTGTGTGTGTGTGTGTGTGTGTGTGTGTGTGTAGTATTGACGGGCTAATCTCACAGTAATTTTCACATTCATAATGAATAGCTGTAGTCATTGGGTTTTGTAACAGGTCTCCAAAATTTCCTGCTTTACATAACTGAAGTTTTGTGTGATTTAGCCAATTATCTGTGCCTCTTCCTGCTTTCCCAGCCTGTTACACCACCCTTTCCCCCTTTATTTCCCATAAGAATCTGGAATGAGTGGACTTCTGTTTTAGACTTTTGTTGTACAGGGACATGAATCTGAACTGTAGGATAGCTCTAATCAAAGTAACTAATTTGCCTCTGATAGTTCTAGGTCAGGCAATGAGTCTATTTTCTTAGCCCCAGGAACTAAAAGACAAAGATGTCCACGGGCAGTGAACATTCCACTTCCTATTGCATTTTGCACTACAATTAATTGTTTCTCGATGGATTCTAAAAGGTTAACTGGAAGACAGATGCCATGGCTTACCTCCCAGAAATGCTAGGGCTGAGATAGGAATATTACTCTGGACTTGAAGTGTACCTGGGATACAGAGTGATCTCTAGACCAGCTTGGGTTACAGATTGAAATATAGCCTCAAAAAATCAAACCAAACAATAATAAAAACAAACTAAAGGAGAGAACAAAAAGAGTAAGACTCTGCCCTTTAATCCTTCTCCTTTATAAAAACTGTGTGATTAAGTAGAATTAAAATCAAGTTTGTCGTTCTATATTTAAGGATTTGTTCTTGAAACCAGAATCAATGAATATGTTTATTCTATTTGATAGACCAGCTAAATGAGGCTCAATTGGACACAATGGGGAGAGAGTAGCTAAAATCGAGAACATCATCTATTTACATTAACTGAAGTATATTTCCTCAAATACCTTGACTTTCTCTGGTGTCTGTTCTCCTAAGGTAAATCAAAGTTTTTCTTCTCCACAAGGTAAGGTAACGAATTCTCAATTCATTGTAGATGCATGTGAGCTTGACATGCCTTTCTGCAGAAGGAAGCCACAGTGCCAGACTCAGCCATCTCTCCCCTTAGGAAGGCTTAATCTCCCATCCCCAGCTCCCACACTTGTCCCAAGTTCCTGTGGTTCAAGGTTTCTAAGTGATTTCTAGGATGCAGTGTATGTTTCAATGCTATTACATCTAAGCTCTAGAAAACAAAACTGCTGAATTTAGGGCCTTTATTTCATAGCTGTTTCTCCCTTCCTGCCTAACAGTGTCTCCTAAGTCTAATGGAGGAAGCCATGGAAGGTATTTGTGAAACAGCAGTCATGACCTTTTGGGAAACTATAATAAACAATTTTCAGGATCTCTAATTCTCAAAGTAGACTTGGTTATGTTTTTACTCAGTACCATTCCAGTCCCCCCATTTAAAACATGTTAACTCTCTTTCGATCTTGTCCCAATCCACCATTCTTAGGGCAGGGCACTTGTTACGCTGGTTCTAATGCATTCTGTGCTTGGACACAGGTCGAACAATAATCTTCACAACCCACCATCTGGATGAAGCTGAGATGCTCAGTGATCACGTGGCTGTCCTCCAGCAGGGGAGACTCAGATGCTATGCTCCTCCTGCAGGCCTGAAGGAGACCTATGGCCAAGGACTCACCCTGACACTCACCAAACAAGTAAGAAGTGCCACTCATTTATTTCACTAGGAAACCCTGTCCCATTCACGTCACCAGAAACAAAGCAGGACACTTGTGCAATAATAATGTCCAACTGGAGGCCTTTTGTGCATGATATCTCAGGAGCCTAAAGAACTCCTTTCTGGCCTGAGCAGTGAGGGATATCCTCTGTGAGCTCTAGGGTGCATTTAATCTTCTAGATAGAAACACAAGAGGGGTCAGAATGACCTGCTAGATACCAAGAGTCACTGTCCGGAAGCACAATGGCCAAAGAGTTCTAGCAATCATTTTGAAGTGATATTCCCTTCCAGAGGTTCGAACCTTGCCCATCATAGAATCAGAGCAGCTAGGAGATGAAACAATTATGGTTGGGAACTGAGAGATCAAACCTAAGTCACATCTGTAGTTGTTAATGCCAGAAAAGGAACAGAGTTTCTGGGAATAGAATCCAGAAACTCACTACCAAGGTCCTCATGACTGTCTTACCCTTGATGACCCTCAAAAAAGTCTGCCCTTGACTCCTTTGAGGGTGGCTTCTCTTTGCCTTTTCTCTAATTGAGGTGATTATGTTGTTATTCAGAGTAGGCCCCTTTAATGTTGGCTAGGAATCCTACTTCTCACTTTTGGAACACTCCAACCTGTTTCTTGCACAACTGCTAGGATTTGAGTCTCCATAATGATCTCTCTGGGAAGGAGAGAATTATTCCAATGTATCACTTGAAATGTCTCCAGAGCATTTGGAATGAGTATGGGTACATGAGTCAAGAGTAGGCTCACCACATTTACTGCTGTAGATTCATGTTTTATAAAATAGAAAAAGGGGGCTCAGAGGATGACTCAGCTGGCAAAGTATTTGTCTTGCAAACATGAGACATTGAGTTGGTAACACAGAACACACATACAAATGCCAGGGTTTATAGCATACACCTGTAATCCCAGTGCAGAGAGGCCAATAATTATCTCTGGTATTTACTGGCCAGCCAGCCTGTCCTAATTAATGAACTCCAGGTTCAATGAGAGACCTTGCCTTAAAGGAGATAGGTTTTCTGAGGGTGGCCTTGAACTTGTCCTCAGACTTCCACATTGGTGCATATGTGCCTGTGCACACATACACACATGTTAAAAAAGAGGAGAAAATGTGCAACGCATCATTGAAAGGTCCCCTCCTGCTTAAATGCAACAACCTATCATTGTTTTGTAATAGAATTCTGAAATAGCACGTATATGAGGATATTACTCAAAAAGTGTGTTTGGATTGATTTTCCTTACTGCTTTCTTACCCATTTATCTTTCTGGTAGCCCTCTATCCTAGAAACCCAGGAGCCCAAGGATGTGGCTCATGTTACATCCTTGATACAGGTCTATATTCCACAAGCATTCCTCAAAAATAGCAGTGGAGGTGAGCTTACCTACACCATCCCCAAGGATGCAGACAAGACCTGCTTCAAGGGACTTTGCCAGGCTCTGGATCAGAACTTACATCACCTGCACCTGACGGGGTATGGCATCTCAGACACCACCTTGGAAGAGGTACCTGCTGATATGTTTCCATGGCAAGTTCCATAGTCAGAGAGGTGTGGATGAGTGGGGAAGAGATAGAGACTGTTGTGTATATTTATATATTATATATTTTCAAACCCTGATTAGAAGACTGTATCAATTTCTTTTCTTGTTGTTGTGATCAGCTATCCATGACAAAAACAACTTAAATGAGATATGGTTTATTTTTATTTATAATCCCAGGATAGGCAGTCTATCATGGAGGTGATGTTATGGCAGCAGGAGCTTGAGGCACATTGTATCCACAATCAGGATGCACAAAGTGGTAAATGTTTGTCCTCAGCTAGCTTACTCCTTCTTACTCAGACAGGATCCAAAAATCCAAGGAACAGAGCAACTCGTTTCAGGATGGGTCTCCCCATTTAATTGACTAAGGATAGCCTCCCATAACCATTCCCAGAGGCTTATCTTCCTAGTGTTTGCAGATCTCATCATGTTGACATCTGACATTAATTGTCACAGTCATTCATAGTGGGAACCCAAACCAGAATTTAACACATTCCCACTGGTGACGGGTATTCAAGAAAATTCCATTCCTATATTTCAGGCTGAGATATGTTTGAACTGGAATCTGTGGATGACCAATCACTCTTCAGTAGGGGAGAAGCCTGCCTCTCCTGTGACCTTCTGTTTGGAAGCTGCGGTCATACACTGGCCAAATAGACCATCATAAGATGTTGTATCACACATATGGTACTAAACACTGCCATACTCCCTGTCCCAAGCTCCCTCTTCACTCTGACACCTGGTGCTCTCAGCCTTTGGAACTCAGTTGAGAACATTCATTACTCAGTGCAGTCCTACCAGCTAAGGGCTTGCTCATATTTTATTTGAGGGAAAATTCTGGGCTGTAAAACCCAATTGAAAGCAGTCTTTGTGTTAAGTCCCTAATATTACACCTACATGTGACCTACATGTAAATTTTAGTTTTACTTTGCTATTAGCTATTGAAAATGCTGCATATCAAAAGCTAACAGAAGGACAGATAATTAGAATTAATGTAAGTAAGGAACTATTGTGCTATCCTCTATTTTAACTTACTGGTTTCAGAAATAATACTAGTGACCAATCATTTTTGTTGTTGTTGTTAGTAGGCATTACCAATCTGAACTACCTATTAGAAACTTTGGGTAACTGTGGGAATTAAAATGACCAGTTTTCTAAGCTAGAGTGAGCATTAGAAAGAATATATGTGGAAAAGGCACAAAGTTGTGTTTGTGGTCCTGAAGGCAAGGCAACCCTTGAGAAATCACTAGGTGTACATTTGCCTTCCTTTCTCGGCAGTAGTAATGTTAGTCTCAGTCCTAGGCCCTATAGTTAACTATGCCTGATAAACACACCCCAGCAAATGAACACATTGTGGGGCACCAAGGGAGGGGGTGCAGGAGGGAGAAATCATACCTGCCTGATTTTCATTATAGTACCTTGCTAAAATTTTTCTATTTTGCTTCTATTATTAGTTGTTGCTGTTAATCTCTTACTGTGCTTAATTTATGAATCAGACTTTACTTTAGGCAAGCATTAGGGAACAAAAGTGCAATTACAGGTTCTGTATCTGTGGATTTAAGTAATTGCATGTTGCAACTATTCAGAAATAGCACTGTGTGTATTGAACACATGAAGACTTTTATTGTCATAATGCCTCTGGAAATTAATATGACAATTATTCATCTATAGCATTTGCCTTGTATTAGATATGATAGATAGTCTAGACATGCATTGTTGTATGAAGTAGAATGTCAATAGGCTGGATACAAATACCATATCATTTATATAAAGGACTTGGACAATTCTGAATTTTACTCTCTGAATTTACCCTACATGAATACTTAGTGACAACTATTTGTCTGTAGAATTCAGGCACCATTGGTTTTGGAATTCATACTCCATAGCCAAGGGAGGGTCATCAAAGTCCTTAACTGATAGTAGCCATCAAACAATTCATCCAGAAGTCAATATTCATAGATAATGAGTGTAAAACAAGAAGATTCATAGTCTTGCAAGGTACTTACTTTTGTATTTAGAACACCTTTCACTCTCTACAGATGGTATTATTCCTATTTCTAAGTGAGGAATCTGAGCCTTGGTAGGCTACTTTCTTTACTTCAAGTCCCTCAGCTCATAAATGATGGATCTGCACATGGACTAAGGATTTCTGGGAATGAATTACATTTTTTGAAGATGGTTGATCTGGGAAATACTCTATATTGTATTGACCAACAGGGCTACAGAATACCAGTTCCATTATCTCTACCCTGTCCTTTTTGTTAGAGTAAGTAGAGCATGTGGGCACAAGTAAAAAAACAAAAAACAACAGCCTACTGTGTGTTCATGGTGTCTATGAGCTGCTCTCTGGGGCCAATGGTTGCAATCAACATGACACTGTGTCATGCTGGCTGTTTCCTGCTGTTATTCAGGAAGCCTTAATGTGAGTTAAACCTGGGGAGAAAGCCTGAAAGTCTGGACTTCCCATCATCATTCAGTGGTTTCCTCTTGTCCCCTCACTGCCACAGTCTTTTCTTCATGATTCCTGCCCTGGTAAATTCTGTGTTTCCCCTGGGTCTTACTCAAGAAGATGGAGCCCTGCAAGTGCTATGCTTTCCTGACACCCTCCAAACCAAAAACATCTGCGCAGTTTAAATACAAACATGGTGCTTTTCCTGAGTAGTTGTCATCTGTAATTACTCGAACCCACAGATGTAGAACCTGTAACTATACATGCTTCAGAAAACATGCCTGTGTTCTGAGACAGTTACAGTAGAAAAACCCTCAGATTCATCTCAGATAGTTCTGTTTCTAAATTTTTATTTCATGTTATGTGTATGTGAATGTACCCAAGTGTCTCTGTGTGAATGATATGCATGCATGAACCCTCAAATTTCAGAATAGCATGCCAGATCCCCTGGACCAGGAGTTAAAAGCAGTTGTCAACTAACATGGGTAGGCTGGGAACTAAACCTAGGTCCTCTGCAAGAGCTGTAAGTGCTCTTATGCACAGGGCCATTGCTCCAACCCTCTGCAGACAGTTCTAAGTCCACATATTTATCCCTCTGATCTCCAGGATGTTGGATCAATCACTCAGTGTTGGTAAGCCTTAGTATGTTTTTTTCATTGTTTAAGATGGAAAAATGAGAACCACACATGGATTCTATCATGCCCTAATGGCTTTCATTCAAACAACAAATGATAAAGAGGATGTTTGGAAGGGAACATTTTTTTTCAGATTTTTTTTTAATTTGAATTAGAAACAAGATTGTTTTACATGACAATCCCAGTTCCCTTCTCCCTCTCATCCTCCCCTATCACCCCTCCAACTAAAACCCTACTATCACATACCCTTTCTTCTATTCTTCCCCTCACTCAACCTTTCTGCTCTCTCATGACCTCTGCATCCTTCCTCTTCTTCCAGAAGGGAACATTTTTATACTACTTATAAGAAAAGCAGATTAGCTTGACGCTATAGAAATTCCTGTGGAGATTTGTCAGTATAACTACCATGTGATTCATCTGCACCACTCCTGGGTAAATACCTGAGGGACTCTAAGTCAGCTTATCAGATGGATTTTTGTATATCCATGTGTACCAAAGCACTATCCACATAGCCAAATTCAGGAAATAATCTAGTTGTCCATCCATTAATGGATGGCTTAAAAGATCTGGCATATGTACATACTCTAGTTTCATTGAGATGATGAAACTATGTCATTTGTAGGAGAATGGGTGAAGCTAGAGATCATCATGTTAAGTAAAACAAGCTATACTGACATAACACCTTGTGTTACCTCTTATATTCAGAATCTAGACTTCAGAAAAGGACTTGAAAGGAGAGAGGGGTTTATTTGAGAGGAGAATGGGGCACCAAGGAAGGGAGGGTCATGCAGAATGAATCCAAGTATGTAATAGATTTGAGGGACAATGTCATAAATGAATATATGCTAATAAGAACTAAATCAATGAACAAACAAACACACATACAAGGAACAGAACAGTTTTCATTGATATTCTGAGTATGAAAAGTAATGGTTACATGCTTGGACAAACTAATCAAAATGGTAATGCCTCCTGTGATCTGTGGGGAACTGTCACCTTTTGGAGTAACAGTGGAATTAAATCATATCCATGCCTGAAAGTTCACCTGTCTCTTCAGGGACTTTTGATAGATTAGCAATCTTCCATGTGCCAAAGCAGAAGAAGACCAGGACATGTCTGAGCCTCCTTTTCCTCCTATTGTGTGAGTCAGGATTGGTCAGCTGTCCTCCTGAGTGCAGGTTTACAGGCCTGTGGCTCATTGAACTACATCCTTAAATGTGACCAAGACACCAATTGCCACCACTTTTGAAGTTTGGAAAACAAGTCCAAATATTGGACAATAAGTCTAGTATTTGACTAGCTGGGATCTTGAGCCAGCACATGTTAGTTTTCCTACAAAAGTAAAGTGCTGCTACCTTCAACAGTTGCCTCACATCCTGGGTCTTTGGGGCTGGAAGCAGGGGCTGTTCTTAGTCTCTGTCTGTGTTTACTAGGTGACTTGCTGTTCTGCCTTGTCTTGTCTTGAGAAACTGAACTTGTTCATAAGCTCAACAAGTGCTCACTCTAGGGCAGGTGACCTTGTGCATGTTGGGGACAGAAGACAAGTCAGTTTTTTTGGATGAAGAACACATATCATTGAAATAACACATTCATCTTAATCTATAGATACTTATTGGCATTTAACACCTGTATGCCAGAAGGAGTGGGCATCCCTTTCATGTAATTAGCATTCTATTTAATAAAAAAAGACTTCAGGAATCGTTGTTAATATTTATCAGTAAGAGGAGTAAAACTTTGGGAAATGCTTGCCTTTGATGTTTTATGAGTTTAAGAACTTTAACACAGTGAGGCAGGTCTTCATTTTCTGGGTGGATGCTTACTTAGCGTTGAGATGCTTGGTTAACTACTGTAGTTTATATAATCTATCAGTGCTATTGCAA